ACAGACTCACCTGACACCATCAAGTAGCTGTGCTCGTTTCCCTTGTGCCCACAATGTACTTTGTATGTCTCTGTCATAGCTTCTTGGACTCCTGATTGCGTTTGCACATATTTAACTTTGTTTCCGTCTACAGTACTGAAGGCTTCTTGAGGACAGGACCCTATTTCGTTTATTATGGTATCACCTGGCACCTAGGAGTCAATAACTGTTGCAGATGTAGGATGATGAACCAGCCTGGTTTGCCTGCTACTTTTCTGGTTTTATCACTGAAGATCTCGTAGCTGAGGAAACCCCTCAGTTCTGGGCAAACTGGGACAGTTGGTCACGTAATACATACGGCTCCTAGGATAGTTTAAAAAAGTTATGTGTGGCTCTAAAGTGGGAAAAAAGTTAAAGAGAGACTATCTCAGTTACTATGTATTGAGTGAAAGGATGAATGATCTAAGGCACATTCATGGAATATCTTCAATACGATTTTGGTTTTTTTCCACAAAATAGAATGAAAATAATGAACATACTAGGCAGCCTGTTGTTTTGCACAAACTCAAGAGAATCACTAGAGATTGAACAGGACTATGATTTTCAGGGACCATTGTCATTCAAAGATGTGTTTGTGGATTTTACCTGGGAGGAGTGGCGGCTCCTGGACCCTGCTCAGAAGAGCCTGTACAGGACTGTGATGTTGGAGAACTATAGCAACCTGATGTCCTTGGGTAAGTTCTGCCTCTCCAAGGAAGTGTGTATGTGACTGGCTGACTTCCCTTCCTTGGTTGTTGAAAGCTGGGGGACTTGTATAAAACACTTAGTGATTTTGAATCTAAATTCTAGAGGTCAGTTTTTCTCAGATCCCCTTTAGCTTCAGAGTGTGCCAGTTGAATGGTCTGTACTTTGCCAAAATGCTGAAGAGTAGTGTCTCAGGTTCTTAGTGCTGCTGTAACAGAAATACCACAAGTTGGTGGTTTTAAAAAAACCAGGGATTTATTTTCTCACAGTTCAGAAGCCTAGAAGTCTGAATTCAGGGCACCAGCTCTAGGGGAAGGCTTTCTGTCTTGTCAGCTCTGGGGGAAGTTCCTTGTCTCTTCCATCCAGCATGCCTCAGTTTCTTGGCAGTCTTCAAATGGGTGGCAACTATCTTCCCCATTTGTGCTTCCTTGTCTCTGTTTATGCTGCTCTTTTAACTCAGAAATAATTAGGTTTAGGACACACCCTACATTGATAATGGCCTCATTAACATAAAAAACCCTGTTTCTAAGTAGGATTACATCCATAGGTATAAACAAAAACCAAACCTGTTGCAGTCGAGTTCATTCCGATTCCTAGCAATTCTGACTCATAGCGACCCTATAGGACAGAGTAGAGCTGCCCCAAAGGGTTTCCAGGGAGCAGTTGGTGGATTAGAACTGCTGACCTTTTCGTTAGCAGGCAATTTCTTAACCATAGGTATAGGAGTTAGGATTCCAACACATATTTTAGGGGGAAGTGGACACAGTTCAATCCATAACAGGCAGTTTCATTAATTAGTCTGTGAAATGGAGTCTTGCTCATTCTTCAGAATCCTTGAATCCCAAGCAGTTTTGGTCCAGATTGTCTCATGATTTTCTTTGAATAGGGTATCAACATACCAAACCTGATATAATATTCAAGTTCAAACAAGGAGAAGAGTTGAGGATGATAAAGGCCCAAATCCCAAATCAGAGCTTTCCAGGTGAGTTAGTGGGAACTGGGCGATGGGAGCAGTTAGGTCACATCAAGTGAGGGAAAGGGGGAAAAACCTGTTTAAATGCGTAATGAAATGAGCCTGTTTTAATGGGAGCATAGGAAGAGTATAGGAGTGAGAATATGAGGGGAGTAAGAGAGCACGAGCTTAAATGAGACAGGGAAAGTACACATAAGGCCTCTGATGCAACCTGAGGTGCCCTAAGGGCCACAGAAGCAGCGTAAAGACAACTTGGACACGACATAGCAGGAACTGCCTCACGTTTTCTTGGGTGCTCCTGCCACTTCCATTCAGGCAGTTCCACATTTTGGGGTGTGTTTTCACAGCATCCCACTCCTGTCATATTCTGTTTTAGTTAGGATTCTTAGTTGTAAGCAACAGAAAATAATTCTGGCTGATTTAAGCAGAAAATTCATTAAAACCATCTTGGGTGTTCTAAATAATCACAGGGGTAAGGGAAGGCAGAAATTGGGGTTGGAAACCAGATTTGGGGCCATGAAGCTGCTATCTCTGAGCTTTAGACCCGTGTCTGTAACACTGGCATCACTTCGTTCTGGGCATTGGAAGTTTCACTGTGAAGGCTGCTTCAAGAACTCTTGGTGAAGCCTCTAGTACACCAGAAAGCTTCTTGCGGCCCTGTTTCTTTGTATCAGTGGTTCTCATTTCTAAGACTGAGGTAGATGTACCTTCTAGGGAGAGCTTAAATCATCTGCCCACCCTCTAGTTACTGCAAAGGCGTATATATTTTGAGCTCTTCTTTCAAGGATCTCTGTAATATATGCCATCTTGTCAGTTCAGAGCAGTCTTCCCTACATTTCTCACACTAATTGTTCTCTCCATCTTATTTAATTTTCTATCAGTCTCTGAACATACGATATTCTTTTGCTGCATCTGGGCCTTTGAACTTGTTTTACTTTCCCATTCTAAATGTAGTATGTATCTATACCTCTTTCCCAAAGTTCCTCGCCTATTCCAGCTTTTGCCAATGTCCTATCCAGCTTAATGTAGCATCTTTTATTAGAGTATCTGGGGCCTGAGAATTATTTCCCCACATCAAGAATATCATGTGGAACTTACTTTTAAATGGCTGTGGTTTCATAGTAATTCATTCCTTATGGATTTCTTTAATGCAGCATTTTTGGAGGGTGATGATTTGATGGGAAAGTCAACACAAACACATACTACACAGTAAGATTAGATTAAATTTCCTCGTCATGTAGTCAAGAGTATGACAAGTTGTCAGTGGTAATATGGCCACGTAGGGAAGGAGCTGGTATGCAACGCATGTCAGCATAGCTTCCGTAGTCCCAGGCTCCTTACAAGGGCACACAGCTGCCTGTTGGCAAGTGCATCTTGCTGGATTGAATTCTTGCTACATGACTGCTCTTCCATATTGCAAGGCTTGTGTCAGCTTTCAGGAGGAACCTATAAGGTTAAGATATGAATTTCTACTTAAGAGAATTCTTAAAAGCATTTGGCTCGAATCAAGCTGTGTCAGAAAGGCTGTGTTCTCAAGCAGACACTTGGCTTGAACAATTTATATTTTCAGCATTCTAGAAAGCCTGTTAAGTCCTTGCAGTTCATTCCTTGATTCCAATTTAATATGCATTAATCTGATACTAGATCCCTAGGTGGTGCAAATGGTTTGCACTTGACTGCTAACCTAAATGTTGGCAGTTTGAACCTACCTAGAAGTACTGTGGAATATATGCCTGGCCATCTGCTTCCATTGAGATTATACTCAAGAAAACTCTATAGAGCAGTTCCATTTTGTAACACATGGGGTCGCTATGAGTCAGAATCGACTTGACATCAACTAATAACTATAGCAATCTGATTCTGATTTTAGTCTGAGATTGATGACTTGAAATATGGCAGGTATGCATGAGATTTATTTGGGAAATTTTTTAGACTATACATACCAAATGTCATCTCTAGATTCTTATTCATTAGGGCCAGGGTAGAGCCGGGACAGGTGATTCTGTGATACAACACCTCTGCTTTAATGTTTATGGGAAAAGACTTGAAGAGAATAAAAATTACAAATGAATTATGCAGTCTCTTGAGCTATAAATTTAATTTGGGAGGGGAAAGCATAGTTTACTGAAATATTAAAGTATTGATTGTTTGAACGTGAAGCATTTTATAGTGCAAGTTTAAAAAGATTGTGTCCAAAGAATGTTATAGACAGGGAATGGTGAATTGTAAATGAAATAAAGAAAAATGGATGTTAAACTTTCATGAAGAGATTGATGAAGGCCTTGTTTTGCTTTCTTTTTTTGGGGGGGAAGAGTAGGCACTCCATGAAAGAGATCAAGATTTCAAATAAAGGGGATAGTAGACACTAACCTCAGCCATTGCAAAAAATGTGCAGGTCCTCAGTAATGGAAAATTAAGTATTAAAGAAAATAGATTGGCTGACTGGAACAGAAGTTATTTGTTGGAGACAAGTAGAATATGAATTTACATGTAGTGATTTAAGGTCTTTGAGTTTGTTTTCTAGATTACTCTGTTTTATATGTTTGTAAAGAGGGCTATCATAGGGCTTTGTGTTTTGTTGTTGCTGTTGTTTAACATTTTAGATTTTTTAGCACAGGAATGATAGTGTTGCATTGGTTATGGGTAGCAGACAGTATTAATAACTGGGTTCAGTCAAGAGTTGTAACATAAACAGAAGATAAATGTTTTCGTTATTCTGTGCCATGGAGTCAATTCTGTCTCATAGCAACTGTAGAGGACAGAGTAGAACCACCCTATAGGATTTCCTAGACTATAATCATTACAGGAGCAATCGCTGAGTCTTTTCTTCCAGGGAGTGTCTGGTGAGTTCAAACCACTGACCTTTCAGTTAGCAGCCAAGCACTTAACTGTTGTGCCACTAGGGATCCATAATGTTTTGGTACAGGATAATTATTATTCCAGCCCTTCAGATGATGGCAGCCAAGGTGTGGGAAACAAGGTATGTGTGCAAAACTAAGGATGAGTACGGTACCGGGAACAGAAGACTGAAAGGGTAAATTATAGGATTTGGTGGTTAGGACAGCTTTAGTATCCATGAACTCTGATAGGCACAGGAATGAAAAAAACCAAAAACAAACCCCGCTGCTGTTGAGGTGATCTGACTCATAGCAACCCTATAGGGTTAAGTACAATTGCCACATTGGGTTTCCAAGGCTGTAAATCTTTACAGAAGCAGACTGCCATATCTGTCTCTTGCAGAGCTGCTGGTGGGTTCAAAACACTGACCTTTTGGTTAGTAGTGAAGCTTTTAACCACTGCACCACCAGGGCTCCTCACAGGAATAATACTGGCAGTCAAACACATGAGCAAATCTGATTCTAGGGCAAATGTTAGTTACTTACTGGCCTATTTGTTTCTTTCTTTCTTTTTTTTTTTTAATAATGTTTTATTGTATTTTCACTGAAACTTTGAACAGCAAATTAGGTTCCCTTTTGACAGTTTGTACAGAAATTGTTCACAGAGATGTTAGTTACATTTTTCACAATGTATCAATATTCTCTTTAATTGCATTCTGGTGGTTCCATTTCCAGTACTAGATCTAGTTTACCGGATGAGCTATAGAAATGATCCCTGAAAATACAGTCTTTAGCCTATTTCTTTTTGGTGGAGACATTTCTGAGTATAGAAGCATATAATAGCTAGTCACACTTTTTCCCAAACTATTGTGACAGGCAGAAGCTCCTGTATTCGTTAATCAGCACATCCAGGGTAGATACTATCCCAGTTAACAATTGATATTTGGGGAAATATGATTTTGTGGTCATGTACAGAATGAATAAGAAGGATCATATTTAGGAGTTATGAAGACTAGATGAGATTTTATCACAGTCAAACTTTAATGAGGTATTAAGATCCTTTGATTTGCTATCTCCAAACCTGACTTGTTAACTTAATATGCTTTTCTGTTGCTTACCCTGAGCAGCATATTACGTTGGAGTATCTAGATCGATTCCATTCGCTTCTGTCTAACCTCCATGTGTTTGTTGCTGTGCCTGAGGACTTGATCCTGTGTCTTGTCATCTCTCTACTGTATCTTTGGCTTTTATTTATTTTTATGTTAATATGGCACTCTGCCCACCTTATCCCCTCCTTGTTTTCCATTTCCCCCAGAGACAACCAGTTCATCTCTTTTAGCTCTTTGTTATGGTATTTACTTCCATATTTCTAAATTGCCAGGTTATTTTGCTGCACCTTGATCCCCATCTCCTCCTTCTAGGCAGTTATCTGACGATTTCTCCATATAGAATAAGTAAGAATTAGTTCACTTTCATCCTCCACCCCTCATACCCTCAACCACATATTCACTGACTCTTCCCATATCCCCATTATGCTAATATAGTTACAGCCACTCCTCACTTAGTGACATAGTTTCCAAAGACCAGGTCATTATGTGAAAATTGGTGTTAGGCGAAAATGAAGGTTGACCACACCAGATCACAAAATGGAGAATGACTAGATCATCATATAACTGCTAGATGGTGTCATGCTCAATTACACCATCACCTAACTGCCAAATATTACATCATTATATAACTGCTAAACCACTGTGAATCATGGGCCAGCCAAATTGACAGTCTTAACCATCACAGCCAGTGTTACTCTCACCTCACACCTCAGCGTTCGGTACTGTGAGACGTATGTCGTTAATGCGCAAAGTAGTTGGATAGATTTTTTTTTTCACTCTTGTCGTAAATGCAAGATGTTGGATAATGAGATAGTCGATAAGTGAGGAGTGGGTATAGTTTATAAATTTGGTTAGATCATAAATGAATAATTTCTTTTATAAGGATCAACGCAAGGCTTGTTCCTTTGAGGAGGTGGTTAAAGATATCCCAAATGTCCAACTTTTCCAAACTGCTGTACCACTCCACCATCTCTAAGATCAACTATTCCTTCTCTCCTCAGTACTCTACCTCCCATTTTGGGTTCCCTAATTTGCTGCAGTGTCTCACAGAAGTCATAAACTGTATGAAGGAAATCGCTCATGTGGTTGTGGAGGCTGACAAGTCCCAAATCCGTGGGTCAGGTGTCAGTGTCTCTTGACTCACGTGGTTGCAGGTGCTGACGATCCCAAACCAACAGTTCAGAACACAGGCTGCTGGCTCGCAAGGCTGTGAAAGCTGGTGAATCATGTCAGACGATAGGCCGATAACCCACAGGGCTCCGGATGCTGGCAAATCCCAGAATTGGTAGGTCAGATGGCAAGCTTCTGGCTCAAGTCCCATGAACTCGAGGTCAGTCGATCATGAACCGGATGTGGGATCCAGATGCAGAGAGAGAGAACCCCACCAGGGCATCCACACGTATACCTTAAATGCAGGCCATACCCCAGGGAAGGGCATAACTTGAGTAAGGGTGGGACTTGAGTCACACCCTCCTGCAAGGCTGTGACCCAAGGACCTAAGACACAACTCACACCAGTCCTGCTTCATCAACATGTAGAAGTCAGGATCCACAACACATAAAATTGGGGACAACCATACAATATTAGGAATCGTGGCCTTGCCAAGTTGACACATGACCCCAAATATTACAGGTTCCATGTACCGATTTTGCATAGTCCCACTCAATCATTGTGTGTGAGTCACAAAGACCATGGCTGGAAGGGCCATATTAAGTAATTTATGACACCACAGATCTCTCTTTGATTTTTTACATTATAACTATTTAATTTGTAATCATAGGTAAATCATGCAGTATAGAATGATTAATTTTCCTTCTTTGTTCATAAATTTTTTTATTACTCTGGATTTGCTTCATTTGCTTGCTTAATTTTCTTTGTTATCATTAATGTATTTATCAGTTTAACTCCAGATGCTTCTTCAGATATGTAAATATTCTTTTAATACATCTAGACAAATTACTAACTTTTCCAATTTCATTTTTCTGGTGACATCACCTTCCAGGTATTTCTGACTGTCTTCAGTGTAGCCTACTGTTTGTGAAAACCTGCTGTACAATTCTTATCCTGGGATCTTTTCAGACTTTATCGTCTATTTCCTGGGTCATTCTTTTTCCTGGTGTGTTTTGTTTGAGCATGTTCTTCAGTAAGTTGCTGTGAACAGGTTAACATGATATAAATTTTGAGACTTTGTGGACTTGGAAATATTTTTACTCTACTCCTGATTGCTCTTTTTGTTGTGTTGCTAATGAAGACTCTGGTGCCATTCTAAAATTGATCCATTATGTAAAACTGTGTTTTTGATTCCTGTGGAAGCTTTTAAGATTGTCTACTTACCCTCGGTATTCTGAGACTATGATGATGTTCCTTGTGAGTCTTTTCATTCATTTGTCTGGGTATTCACTGAAACTTAAGAGGATTTAGGAACTGTCTGTAATGTTCTTGGTGTTTTTTGAGAGATTAGCAGTGTTTGGCATGTAATAGAGATAGATAGTTGAAGTCTAGTTAACTCAGCCCCATGGCAACAGTATGTACAACAGAACAAAATGCTGCCTGGTCTTACATCATCCTCATAGTCTCTGGCATGTTTGATTCCATCGTTGTGTATACTTTGCAAATCCATGTCACTGAGGATCTCTCTCACCCTTGTAGGCCTTTCAAATCACCAATCGTGATGTCTTCCTCCAGTGATTGTTTCCTCCTGATGGCGTGTCCAAAGCAAGCGAGTTAGACATTGTTTTCTTGTGTTCCATAAGGGTTTCATTGGTTAATTTTGAGGAATAAATTGTCAGGCTTTTCTTCCTAGTTTGTCTTAGTCTGGAAGCTCTGCTGAAACCTGTCCACAGTGGGTGACCCTGCTAGTATTTGAAACACCGGTGGCATAGCTTCCAGCATCACAGCAACATACAAGCCACCGCAGTATGAGAAACTAACATCTAGGTAATGGTAGCACACAATCAGTGTTGAATAAATATTTGTTGAATCAATCTAATGTTCAGAGACCCTTTCCAAGCCCTTTATGTTATGCTCATTTATTGTTCATTGTCCCTATTTTATTTTTCCTTCTCCATTATGCTGGATTTTAAACACCATTTTCAGTTTTCTGTACTTATCTACAGTTGTTATTGATTCACTTTGTTTTCCACATGGCTGGGAAATTGAGTACATTTACACTTGAGATTTTATTCAGTTTCAGATCTAATATCTGAAACTAAAAGAACAACCCCATGACATAGTATTTAAAAGTCAGTTAAAAAATACACCAGAATCGTGTTATTATTAATAACGTGATTGTTTTCATTTCTAGAAAAAGTCCGGGAAATTGATCATAATATGGAATGGCAACACGAAAATCAAGGCAAGCTGGGAAGTGTGGCAAAAGGTTATGAATATACTACGTTTAAAAAACTTTGTCTCAGTACAGATTATGTGTCTTCAAGACAAAAACTTCATAAATGTGACACACATGGAAAAAGTTTGAAGTATAATATTGGTTTAAATAGTAATTATGCAGGAACGAATCCTAATGGGATTCATGTACATAAAGAATCATTCCTGGATCCTAAACATGAAGAAACTCTTATTGGAATAAAGTACTGTGAAAGCAATAAAGCTGGAAAAGCGATTCACAAGAAGTCACAGCTCGTATGCCAGCAAATGTGTATGAGAGAGAAGCCCTTTGAATGCAGTTACTGTGGGATATCCTTCAGCAGCAGGTCATACCTTGAAGTGCATCAGCAAACTCATGCCGAAGAGCAACGCTACAAATGTAATGAATGCAGGAAAGAGTTTAGCAGCAAGTCATACTTCATTGTGCATCAGAGAACTCACGCAGGAGAGAAGCTTCATGAATGCAGTCAATGTGGGAAAACTTTCAGTTTCAATTCACAGCTTGTTATACATCAGAGAATTCACACAAATGATAATTCCTATGAGTGCTGTGAAGGTGGGAAAGTTTTCAGCAGGAAAGACCATCTCATTTCATTCCAGAGAACTCATTCGGGGCAGAAATCATATGGATGCAATGAATGTGGGAAATCTTTTGGTTTGAAATCACAGCTGATTATACATCAAAGAATTCGTACTGGAGAGAAACCCTATGAATGCAGTGAATGTCAGAAAGCCTTTAATACAAAGTCAAACCTTATGGTACATCAGAGGACCCAAACAAGAGAGAAACCCTATGCTTGTAGTGAATGTGGGAAAACCTTTACTTTTCAGTCACAGCTCATTGTTCATCAGGGAGTTCACACTGGAGTGAAACCCTATGCATGTATTCAGTGTGGGAAAGCCTTCAGTTTAAAGTCACAGCTCATTGTACATCAGAGAAGTCACACAGAAGTGAAACCTTATGTATGCAGTGAATGTGTAAAAGCCTTCAGGAGCAAGTCATACCTCTTTATACATACGAGGACTCATACAGGAGAGAAACTCCACGAATGTAAGGAATGCGGAAAAGCCTTCAGTTTCAATTCACAGCTTGTTATACATCAGAGAATTCACAAAGGAGAAAATCCCTATGAATGCCATGAATGTGGAAAAGCCTTCAGTCGGAAGTACCAGCTCATTTCACATCAGAGAACTCATGCAGGGGAGAAACCCTATGAATGCAGTGACTGTGGAAAAGCTTTTGGTTTGAAGTCACAACTCATTATACATTTGAGAACTCATACAGGAGAAAAACCCTTTGAGTGCAGTGAATGTCGGAAGGCCTTTAATACAAAGTCAAACCTTATCGTACACCAGAGAACTCATACAGGAGAGAAACCCTATGGTTGTAGTGAATGTGGGAAAGCCTTTACTTTTAAGTCACAGCTCATTGTACATCAGGGAGTTCACACTGGAGTAAAACCCTATGCGTGCATTCAATGTGGGAAAGCCTTCAGTTTGAAGTCACAGCTCATTGTACATCAGAGAAGTCATACAGAAGTGAAACCTTATGGATGCAGTGAATGTGGAAAAGCCTTCAGGAGCAAATCATACCTCATTATACATATGAGGACTCACACAGGAGAGAAACCTCATGAATGCAATGAATGTGGGAAATCATTCAGTTTCAATTCACAACTCATTGTGCATCAGAGAATTCATACAGGAGAGAATCCCTATGAATGCAGTGAATGCGGGAAAGGCTTTAATAGGAAAGACCAGCTCATTTCACATCAGAGGACTCATGCTGGGGAGAAACCTTATGGATGCAGTGATTGTAGGAAAGCCTTTAGTAGCAAGTCATATCTAATTATACACATGAGAACCCATTCTGGAGAGAAACCATATGAATGTAGTGAATGTGGGAAAGCCTTCATTTGGAAGTCACTACTCATTGTACATGAGCGAACTCATGCAGTGAAAAACCCCTATAAATGCAGTCAGTGTGAAAAATCCTTTAGTGGTAAGTTACGCCTTGTCATACATCAGAGAATGCACATGAGAGAGAAACCGTATGGATGCGGTGAATGTGATAAAGCCTTTATTAGGAAATCTCAGCTCATTGTACATCAGAGAACTCACTCAGGAGAGAAACCATATGGATGCAATGACTGTGGAAAGACCTTCTCTCAGAAATCGATTCTAAGTGCACATCAGAGAACTCATACAGGAGAAAAACCCTGTAAATGCACTGAGTGTGGGAAGGCCTTTTGTTGGAAGTCACAGCTCATTATGCATCAGAGAACTCATACAGATGAAAAAACATAGTAGTTAATTAAAAGTGAGAAACTGTCTTAAAAGTCATTTGGGAAACTATAAGTGGACTCATTACACACCAGAAAACTTACACTAAACAGAAACCTTATGAATGCAGGGAGTGTGCAAGGGCGGCCATCCACAGAAACCTATTGTTTACACATAAAAACATAAAGTGTAGAAACTATGAGTACAGCAAAAGTGAGGCAGTCTTTAGCTTATATCTCATTTAACATCAGAAATTTCACATAGGAACCCTATTGTGTGAATGTGGGAACCTTTTTAGCAGGTCATAACTTAACAATTTAAACAGGTGAGGAACCATATGAATGAAATAATTGTTGGAAAGTCACAAATACAAAAATATAAAAGGAGGAATCTCAGTGAAGCCAGTGAATATAGAACAGACTCCCTTGAAAGTCACAGTTTATTAAACAGGATTTTAATGAGAGAAACTATAGAACCAATGAATGGCAGAATTATCAAAATTGCAAACTTTAGAAGCTCATATCTTGGACAAACTATGCTGAAAATGAGGAAAATCCTTTATCTAGAAATGACAAACCTATCCCCTAAAATTGATGTACGAATGAAGATCTGTGAATGTATTACGTGAGTTAAAGCCTTCAGCAGGAAAGTTCACCTTAGCATATACCAGATATATTCTGGAAATACTAATTGACTTTATTTGCAAAAATAATTTTTTTTACAAATTTTTTCAAAGAAAATCATGTTCCATACGTTCCAAACTTTTAGGGAAAAATTGGAGAAAATGTTCATGAATGTGGAGACATATTAAAGATTTTTTGAGTAAGGAAATGTAATAATCAGGATAAAAATGGTAATATCCTAAGACTGCAAGGATACTTAGATGTTATATTCTTATATGTAGTACATAATATGAAATTTGCATACTTTGACGTTTTACTTCTGAGTGGCACATATGAAACATAGATAGTATATACACTAACATCTCATTAATTTCTACTGTGAATATCAGTTTGCGTCTTAACAAATGACCTGTCACTAGACTAATATGGCTTACTGAAAGTATACGTCAACAGTACAGAAATTTTCTGTTATTTTCCAGCTTGTGTAAGTGGTCCTGGAAACTACCTATTAATAGAAATCAATATAGTATACTTTTCATGTGTTTGTGTATCTTGGAATCTATTCTACGCTCACTGGTTATAACATCTTGATTTTCTTTGAGGAAAATAATCCCTCACAGCGTATGTAGTCATGATGTGACTGTCATTCATTGTGCCCTGAGATTAAACTAGCGCTATCTTGGAGGAATCTGAGAATTCAACAATGCAGATATTTCTGAAACATTGTTCACTTTGTATGTTCACTTTGTGCTTTTTCCTTGAGGAGGGAATCCCATGTGTTACCTAGAGAAACTGTTATTGGAAAGAGAAATTTAGTGATTTCCAAATGCCTAATCCTTTCTGTATTCAGCCCATTATACAGAATCAAATCTCAAGATACCTGGAGTGAAGAATGATACTTCACAGAAGAGAAAGCTTATGTAAAGAGTTGCATATATTTGCTAAATTATTTTCCCAAAATATAATGGGAAATATTATGGAAGTGTATTTTGTCATTGTTGTACTGAGGTAGACAAACACTTAAGAGGAAGCCGATATTTATTGTAATGCTACTGAGTTACATTTTACAGTTTACTGTGTTTTCTCATGCAAGTTTGCCCTGTAGAAGCCAGAGATGTTGGCATAATGTTGAGGTTAGAAACCAAGTACTGTGGGAAAGAAGAATGCTAAATTAGGTCTCTTGTCTTTTTCCAATCCCCTATCTATGTACGTGGCCCAGAGAAGGTCATGGCTGCAAGTGTTCACTTGGTTCCTTTTTCTAGGCAGGGCATGCACAAGCTCCCATTGGAGTGCATTGCCTCATCTCACTGTACATGGGAGAATTGGTTCTGTAGCACCATTTGATCAGCACAGGTCTTGAATGACTTGGATTCTCAGATACTATGTTTTACTACATTGATGAAATCATGATGAAATGACCTGAAGAACAGGATGGAAAAGGCATCCTCTATTCTTACGTGTAACATGGGTTATGATGGAAAGTAAATTACTTGAAAATGATGATACCTAACATCTCAGTAAAATGTCAGATAAGCCCATGATTTGGGGGCATTTTAGGTTGTTTCTTCCAGAATGAGGGCCTTTGCTTCTTCATGCATCCTATTATCTAAAAATCATGATTCTTGAAGTCTGTCTCTTGGGTGTGTTGTCCACAGTAACAGATGTAAGAGGGGGAACAAAGCAAGTGATTATCTTAATACTTTGCAAATTAGAAATAGAAAACACCTTCTTTCAGAGTAAGTATAAAAACATGCAACCAGTATGCTTAATGCTGAAGCTTTGAGCACTTCCCTTTGACATTGTGACGAAGACGAGTGTGACTACCAACACTTATTTTCAACATTGTATTGGAGGACCTAGCCAGTGCAGTAAGGCAAGAAAATTAAGAGGATTGAAATAAAAAAAACAGTAACTCTTAGTATTTGCATATGTCACATGTATATGTACAGAAACCAAGAGAATCTACAATATTGTAGGAATATTGTATAATGTGTTTAGCAGTATTTCTGCATATAGAATAACTTTACAAAATAGTTTTATTTCTGTAGTCTAATAATGAAATTTATTTATAAATACACCATTTATAAAACATCAAAAATTGCCAGATACCTAAGAGTAAGTCTGAGGAAAGATGTTCACAACCTCTGAAAAGAAAACTTCATTAAGAGGCATTCTAGATGATTGAAATAAAAGGGGAAATTTCTCATGTTCATGAATTAAGAGAGACATGTAAACATTTTTTGATATTGGTCTATAGATTCATTTTAATGCCATGGAATCTCTAATAAGTTGTATTTTTCAACCTGAGAAGGTAATTTTTTAAATTTACATGGAAATCAAAGGGGCTAAAGATCAGCCAAGATGATCCTGAAGAGTAACAAGTAATGATAAGCCTATAGAAATCAAGAGAGTATTAGTGCAAAAGTAGGTAGAAAACTGCAGCAGAATACAATCCAAAAATAGATGCGTATATACATGGGCAGTAACTACTGGGTAACCACATAACAAAACAAAAACAAAAACAAAAAAAAAAAACCCAAAAAACCAATATATGTTGCACAAAAGAAATTTTTAGGTGAATTGTAAACTATAAATGTAAAGCAAGTAAGTTCTGAAGATATGAGTATGTTTTCATGACTTCAGGTTAGGAAAAGATTTTGTAAACAGAACAGAAAAACTCTACAAAGAAAAAGATGGTTATTTAGTGGGAAAATACAAAATTGCATGCTATATTCAAATTATGTGACCTTGTACACATTCCTAAGGTAATGGATCGTTCTCTTTATATTGAAGCAGTTAACTGAGAATTAGTTACTACTACCAGCTATTGCTTGCATTTGAGAAATTTCTAAGTTACATAGCATTTACTTCATGACCTAAAAATTATTGCCACATAATTGAATGGTTTGTATATGAAATATGGACATTTCAGTACCTTATTTGAGCTATCTGATGTAAAATAAACTTCTTTAAAAGATATGTTTTATTTAAAATGCCTGATTTACATAAAGGATTTGTATGCTTTTTAAAGCCAAGTATTAAATTTAGTATGTTTAGTGTGATGGTTAAGACTGGTGTCAGCTTGGCTGGGCCATGATTCTCAGTGTTTTGGCAGTCATAATGTGATCACTTCCCTGTGGAGATTTGATATGTGATCACCCCTATGATGGGATCTGCTGTGAGTAGCATTCAGTTGAAGGGCAGTTGCTTTGGGCATGTGGTCTGCATCAAGTGTGGGTGGATGTTCAAGCAGGGCTCACAGGCTTTTTGCTCATTCTGGATCCTGCAGCTGGCTCCTGTTTGACCTCCAGTTCTTGGGACTTGAGCTTGCAGCTTACCTGTGGTCTTGCCTGCCAATCTTGAGATTTGTCCATCTGTACAGCCTGTGAGCAACAGCCTTACTGTATGGTCTGCCGATCTGGGGTTCACCAGCCCCTGCAGCTCTGTGAATCAGAAGAAGCCTCTTTCTTGGCCCATGGACTTGGGACATTATAGCCTCTCTCACCGCTTCAGCCATTTCCTTGATTATATATATTTATACACTTCACTGGTTTTTCTTCTCTAGAGAACCCAGCCTAAGACACTGAGTTAAAGAACATAAACAACGATGTATTTTTTTTTAGAAAAACCTCTTGTATATTGGACTAATACATGAATTCCCACATTGAAGTTGAAAGCAGTTTTATAATCCATTAAAATGATGTTTGTTGTAACAAACATCCGAACCCAGCTCAACTACTGAGTAGATTGACTCAGTCTCCCACACAGAAGAGGTGTGCCCTACAATGCAATTCAGTTTTTACTATCCTAAACAACGTGGCTGGCTTTAGATAAAAGATGGAAAAAGAGAGTAAAAACCTACTGTCGAGACAGTGATCAACGATGCTAGACTCAGATACAACTCAAATGTTGGAACTACCCAACAGAATTTAAAATAACTATAAATCATGTTAAAGGCTCTAGTGGGAAAGGTGGAGAATAAGCATGAACAGATTGGAAATTTCAGCATCGAGATGGAAACAAGAAGAAGCAAATATAAATGGGGCGGGGGGAATGGCAGATGATAAATGACTCATAAGGGCCCATTAGTAAGCTCAACATAGCCAGGAAAAAACCAGTGAACTTGAAAATAGATCATTGGAAATTACTTGAACTGAAACACACAGAGAAAAAAAGTAAAAGGAAACAGAACCAGAAGAGAACTCAGAAACACATGTACAGTGATCTGATTCAAGACCAAAAGTGCCACTGCAATGCAGTGGTGAAAGATTCGATAATTGTGCTGGCCCAGTTGGATATCCATATGGGAAGAAAAGTAAACATTGACACCCTATACTTCACACTACGTGCTACAATTATTTCCAGTTGACTTGTAGGGCTAAAGGTAAAGAGAAAATAATGGAGCTTGAAGAAAAAATGGAAAAAAATTTATGATATATTAAATAGAATACAAAAGGATTAGCCATAAAAGAAAATAAGAGATTTCATTACAATCAAGAATTTTCCCCGAAAAAAATGCTTAAGAAAATGAAAAGATAAGCTATTGTTGAGTAGAAGATATTGTTACACAAATATGACAACTTAGACCCAGAATTTATAAAGAATTATAAATTAGTAAGAAAAAGACAACCCAATATGAAATGGAAAAAGGAATTGAGCAAGCACTTCACAGAAAAGGATAACCAAATGGACAACATCCTATGAAATTGTGCTCATCATCATTAGTCATTAGGGTCTACAAATAAAAAGATCAATGATGTATACCATTCAACATCTTCCATAATGGATAAAATGAAGATTGACAATATCAAGCATTAGCAAGGCTGCACTCATTGCAGGTGGGAGTCTAAGTTTGTCCTACTATTTTGGAAATTTGGCAGTTTATTCTAAAGCTAAACAAATGTCCACACTATAACTTAGTATTTTTACTCCTAGGTATATACCCAACAGAAACCAGTGCATATGTCCACTAAAAAGAATGTTTATAGCATCTTTATTGATAACATACAAACTGCAACAACTCAAATATCCATTAACAGTTTAATGGATACAATTTGTAGTATATTAAAACCATAGAATTCTATGCCTCAATAAAAATTAATTGCTTATTGATACATGCAACAAGGAAGGCTCTCAAAAATGCTGTTCAGTGAAAGACGCCAGACACAAAGAATACTGTCCTGGATTGAATTATGTCCCCCCAAAAATGCGCGTGTCAGTTTGGCTTGGCCATGATTCCCGGTACTGTGTGATTTTCCTATATGTTGTAAATACTGTGTCTATGATGTTAATGAGGGAGGATGGGTGGCAGTTGTGTTAGTAAGGCAGGACTCAATTTACAAGACTGGATTGTGTCCTGAGGCAGTCTCTTGAGATATAAAAGACAGAAGTGAGCAGTGAGACAGGGGGACCTCATACCATCAAGAAAGCAGTGTTGGGAACCGAGTGTGTCCTTTGGACCGGGTTCCCTGCTCAGAGAAGCTCCTAGTCCGGGGGAACACCAAAGAGAAGAAGGCCAACAGAGAGAAAAAGCCTTTTCCTGGAGCTGACGCCCTGACTTTGGACTTTTAACCTACTTTGTGAAGAAATTTCTCTTTGTTAAAGCCATCCACTTGTATTTCTGTTACAGCAACACTAGATGACTAAGACTATTACATAACTATAAAATTTTATTTATATGAAATTTTTAAAAATGACAAAACTAATAGATAGCAATAGAATTCAAAACAGTAGTTTTTCTGTGAGATAGTGACTGGAAGGGGCACAGTAATGCCTTTTGAGGTGCTGAAAGTGTCTTCTATCTTGATGTGGGTACTGATGGATATTCCATGGAAATAGAGTTCAAAAACAAGTAAAATTACAGTGATATGTCAGAATGGCTACTCTTGGGAAACCGTAAACGGGCACAAGAGGAAGCCTTGTAGGGTGCTGGAAATGGCAATGACACAAGTATATAAAAATGTAGAGGTGTTCACTTAAGATATGTGCACTGTACTGTTTTACCTCAATAGAAAAAAATCAAAATCTTTAATATTCAGAAATTTCACATTGCTGTGAACTTATATTTCTCTTCATTTTTCACACATAATATTGAGCTAATTTAAAATGTTTATGGTTAAATGCAAAGGCATTTGACTATGGATCATAACAAATTATGAATTACATTGTGAAAAATGAGAATTCACGAACATTTAATTGTGCTCCTGAGGACTTGTACATAGACCAAGAGGCAGTCATTCGAACAGAACAAGGGGATGTTGTGTGTTTTAAAATTAGGAAACGTGTGTGGCAGGGTTATATCCTTTCACCATACTTATATCTATATGTTGAACAAATAATCATAGAAGCTGGACTATATAAAGAAGAAGGGGGCATCAGGATTGGAGGAAGACTCATTAACAACCTCAATATGCAGATGACACAACCTTGCTTGCTGAAAGTGAAGAGGACTTGAAGCACTTACTGATGAAGATACAAGACTACAGCCTTCTGTATGGAGTACACCTCAACATAAAACAAATCCTCATAACTGGACCAATAAGCAACATCATGGTAAATGGAGAAAAGATTGAAGTTGTCAAGGATTTCATTTAACTTGGATCTGCAATCAATGCCCATGGAAGCAGCAGTCAAGAAATCAAATGAAGTATTGCATGGGGCATATCTGCTGCAAAAGACCTCTTTAAAGGTTAAAAAGCAAAGTTGTCACTTTGAGGATTAAGGTGCACCTGACCCAAGCCATGGTATTTTCAATCTCATTATATGCATGTGAAAGCTGGACAATGAATAGACTGAAGAAGAATTGATGACTTTGAATTATGGTGCTGGTAAAGAATATTGAGTATACCATTGACTGCCAGAAGAATGAACAAATCTGCCTTGGAAGAAATATGGTCAGAATACTGCTTAGAGGCGAGTACGGCGAGACTTCGTCTCACGTACTTGGAACATGTTATCAGGATGGACCAGTCCCTGGAGAAGGACATCATGTTTGGTAAAGTAGAGGGTCTATGAAGAAGAGGAAGACCCTCAATGAGATGGACTGACACAGTGGCTGCAACAATGAGCTCACACGTAGCAAGGATTGTGAGGATAGTGCAGGACCGTGCAATGTTTCATTCTGTTGTACATAGGGTCGCTATGAGTTGGAACCAACTTGACATCACTTAACAAAACAACATAGTTAGATATCTTTAACTGACCACAGGTCATGCATTTTTAAAATAAAAACACAAATGAATTGCTTTTTCCCTGCCCTACATATGTAGGCATTCAACAACTATGTTTTTTTTTATTGTGAAAATATATACAACAAAACATTACACCACTTCAATAATTTCTATATGTATAAGTCAGTCACATTGATTACATTCTTCAAGTTGTACAACCATTCTCTCTACCCTTATCCAACTTATTCGGCCACCATTAACTTAAACTCAACACTCCCTAAGCAAAAATTCCCCTTTTCCCTCTCCACCCCGGTAACCACTAATAATCTTTGGCTTCTATATATTTGCTTATTTCATAGAAGTGACATCCTTCAGTATT